TAAACAGTGGAGATACATATATATATATATATATATATATATATATATATATATTTGAAATAAAATCTTCATATTTTCCTAAGCAGGAAGCAACTGTGACCACCTGAAACCTGAGACACTGCCCCTGCCTTTGTTTCAAGCTATTTGCATCATCACAGAACCTCACAAAGAGGAGGGAGACTCCAGACCAGCTATGAACTGACTGCCCCAAGGAGTTTTCTGTCTATTGACTCCTCTGTGAAATCGTATGAAATCTGAACTTTCATTTCTACCCAGGAGAACTTTTACAATCTTTTCTGTGTTGCCTGATGAAGGGCGTTTGCACCCAAAAAGCTTGCAATGAAAGGATTTCTTTTGCAAAAGTCTTGTTGCTGCGTCAATCAGTCATTTTATAAGATGTGATAAACTTGGAAGACTTCATGAAACCACACCGGGGTTCTCACGCATTTCAGCATAGACTCTTTTAATACATAAAAAACTGCATACACAGCTTATGTAACTTCATGTAAACATCACCTGTCTCATCATTTTTGCCATGTCGGTTTATTTTATTAAAAAAAGAAAAAGAAAACCAACGATAGACGTAAGTGAAACAAAACAGTCTTAGTACCACTGTCAAGGTGGGGCAGGGCGGAGGGGGGGACCAGAGATGCTTTATATACACATACTTATGTCGCCTGGGTGGTCTCTTAAGACCAGTGTCACACACACACACACACACACACGCGCGCGCGCGTTTTAGAGTAGCCAGGACAGGCCACTGCCCATCAATTAGCTTTGGGCAGTCCCATCACAGACTTTTGATGAAGGGAGTTTCAGTTCACCAAAGCCTGTTCTATGTGTATAGACCGTGTGTGTGTGTGTGTGTGTGTGTGTGTACCAAGGTGCACGTGTGCGTATAGGAAGGCATGTATGCACATAAACACGAAGGGGGTGCGTGTATACTGGGAGGTGTGTGTATGTGTGTATATACCAAGGTGTGTATGTATGTAAATACCGAGGGGTGTGCGTGTGTGAACGCCGATGTGCCTGTACCAAGGTGGGCAGTGTATATGTGCGGGTACCAAGGGAGGGAAGGAGGGAGGGGTGTGTGTATGTGTGCGTATACCAAAGTGCGCATAAAGTGTGTGCGCGTGTGTATGTATATACCAAGCGGTATGTGTGTATGCACGTGTCTACCCACCCCCCCTACT